CCCCAAAACCCCAAAACCCCATGAATCTAGAGTAATCAAAAGGTTGAAAATGCATCAAAATCAGAACATAAATTAAATTAAAACTAATTTTCAATTAAAATGGATAATAAACATAAATAAGCTAGTTATTTAGTAAATAATGAACGAAAAGACAATAATTAGGATAGTTATCTTATTAAGTTTTTACGAAACATCCCACAAGAATTCCCTGTTCAAAATCCAATAGATTTGACAGAAAAAATTAGAAAAACTGAATTTAAATTGCACACAGTTGAATACCCTAATGAGGGTCAATTACAAGGAGTCATATTTGTTTTGTAAGAGTATGGGGGTTATTGCGATTTTTACGGTCATTACTTCAAGGATCTAGCAAAGTCAGGATTTAGAGTCTTTGGCTTGGATTGATATGGTTTTGGAAAGAGCTAAGGAAGGAGAGGAGATTCTGGTCCAAACTTAATGGATGATTAATGGAGATTTATTGATAAAATTGTTGAGAAATTTGAGCTTTAAGAAGTAAATAAGTATTTATTTGGTCTTTCTTTTGGAGGTTTAATTTGCATGAGAATGCTTCAAATTAGACCAAGTTTCTTTAATGGGGCTATCCTGCATGCTCCTTAGTTAGCTAATCATGAAAGTAATCATATAGGAAAACGTAAGTGATTCTTTCTTAAAGCAATGAGTGGAGGGTGCTGTTGCTATCGAAATAAATACCTACCAGCAAAGTCTACCAATTAAGAATATGATGAATTTGCTAACTTTGTTAAAGCTAACAGAAATCTAATGATCATGCAGATTTAGTATAATATGGCCAACTATGTGTTAAATCTTTAAGATTTATATAGCAAGGAGATTGATAAGATTCCTAATATTCCTATTTTCCTATCAATTGCTGGTAAAGACTTGGTGGTTTCAAATGGTCACATTAATGAAGTGTCAAAATAATTAAAACACCCCTAAAATATGTTTGTGACTTATGAAGATTAACTTCACTCATCATTTTACTTTGATGGATTTTACCAATAATTGATGAAAGATATTCATGACTGGCTTGTAGATATTAATATCTAGAATTGATTGTACATGCTAATATAAGATTATATTTATTGATAGATGATCAGTTTATTTACTTTTTTACCAAAATTTAATTTTAATTAAATCTTATGGGGTTTTGGGGTTTTGGGG